AGTAATTTGGGTGCTGTAAGTAGTTTTGATTAGCCATGTTTAAGGAAAATTAACTTTAATCTGAAGGAATGAAAAGAAGAGCTAGTATGACAGTAGCAGGACTTAAGAGCCAGTCTTAGAGGAGGAGGCCAGAGGGTTGGTTTTAGGTAGAAGAAGGAAAGTACGAAGGGGTCATGGTAGCTCTCTGAAAAAGCGAGTAGGGTAGGCTGTGTTGGTACCCATCAACTACTGAAGCTACTGAGCAACAAAAGCCAGGATATGGGTAGACTTGAGTATGTTTAGGATGGAAATCGGAGGAAGGCCTAACTAGGAGAATAACAGTAGCTTGCGAATGGCCTTGCAATGAAGACATTTAAGTGGTGTGAGAGGGCTGACATTTCATCTAGGAAAGGGTATGGGTTTGTAGAGCACTGTAGTAATAAGAGGCCTGACATGATGAGCCAAAAGTCCATTGTTCTTCCATACTAAACACAATTGCTTGGGATGGGGTTGCTGACTTGGTCCAGAAGCTTTGATGGCTAAGATGGGTGTAGTTGACTGTTCTGTGCTCCATGGAGTGCTATTTGAGATCTAGGATGCCAGTAATAAATGTGTATCTTCTTAGGAATATTATTGGAATAATGGAATGAAATAATCCGTTAAGGAAGGGCATGTCCCTTCTGGACACCTCAGGCTCTTTACACATCTAATTTGGGCCTGTGATTGAATTTTTTTCTTTGCAGCAGTAGAGGATAGGTATTTCTGATACTGAGCCTGTACTGAGCTGGAATGCAGAGGACTGGCCTAATCAGACCTTAGTTGCTGGAGTAAACTTAGGTTACTGATTTGGCTGAGAGGTAACTTGTAAATAGCTATTAAATAAACAAAACAACCCCAAAGTTGTTTCCATTACTCCAATGAAAAGACAGGAGTGGCTATTTTGTATCCTTTGTCACAGGTGCTTTGTCTTGGCTTTTTTTTGAGGCTGGGGTAGTTTTAAGTCCTTAGGTTGAAAGTGTATGTTGTTCTGTAGATGATAAGGTATAGAACAAAATCATCTAGACCCTGAATGATCCCTGTGCTCCTCTTGCACAGTGCTTCCAGTTTAAACTGGGGTAGGCTGGTATTTCTGCTCAAAAACCAACCAGTTCTGTCTCTGGCAATTTTTTTTCTCTTTATACTGTCAGAAAACTTGTGTGGTTGTCCTGGTTGGAGCTAAATAGAATTTATGTTCTATTCAGTGATTTTACTTTTCAGTTAAGTCTGTTCAAAGTGGCTGTACTTTCTGAAACTAGCAGGAAGTTTTTCCAGACAGTGCTTGCTTCTACAGCTGATAGTGCTTGTATGGTATGTAAATGTTGGCTCTTGCTTATACTTGTGCCTATGTGCCCCAGAACAGGTGCCGTATTGGGTGTTGTAAGTGAGGTGTCACACCTGTGGGGAGGAGCAGACAGGACAGATGACCCAAAACTCCACACACATCATACTCAGGATAAAGCTTGAGGGATCATGATGGTCTCGCTTTCTTCTCCTTCTGCGATGGCTGAAGTCTGAGCAGAACCCTGCTGGTTCATCTGCCTCCGATCCCAATCTGTGCCTTCCTGAATCCAGTTTCTGAATCCTGCTCCCACCTGCTGCTGGGTCTGGACTGGGACTTTTCCAGTGCCCTGCTCTGCAGAGCCTCTGGTGATGTAATTGCCACTGGGGAGTGGGGGGAGGATTTTATATTAGTATATATATGTATATACACACACATATATGTACATATTTGTATATATTTTATTATTTCCCTATTTACAATATTATTCTGTAGTATTATTGTTTACTTAAACCTGTTAGTTTTCTTTTCCAGCCCATAAGTCTCTCTCCCTTTTTCTCCTCTCTTTTGGGGAGAGGAAAGGACTTAATAGAGAGCATCTGTCCAGCATTTACTGGCCAGCCCAGCCCTAAACCACGACAGTGGTGAAACCAGCGGGGGACTGATGTGGGTTAAAACTAAACTTTTCTTTTTTTGGCTAGGTTAGTTTTAATTTGGGTTGGTTCACCACATTGTTGCACAAATGTTTGTGCCAGCAAGAGGGTGGAAATGAGTGGTTTGGGGACAGCAAGGCTGCTGCTTTTGGCAGTAGTGCCAGCTTTTCTGTGTTTTTACTTCAGGCCATAACGGCACTTCTGCTGCATTCTCCTCGGGCAAAATTATGAACTCTCATGATGTGGGTCTTCCTTTCTATGTCCTCGTTTAGTTTACTTATTAAAAGTTTTTGTGTGTAATAGATGTGATGCTGATTTAATCAGCTAGTGCTGTACATTAAAGTAATTTATGGTTTGAATACCTGCTATTTAAACAGACATATTTAGCATATTGACTTATGCTTCCTGCAGTGTTTCTCAAGCTTTTCTCATATTATCCTCCAGGATACATTACTGGCCTCGGTGCAACTCCTGAGCCGTAACGAGGAAACAGCTAGTGGTAGAGCACAGGAGGAAGGCAGGAGATAGGAGACAGCAATGAATGTGGCAAGTGGTGAGAGATAGAGGGGGAGCCCAAGGGCTCTAGGAGATCTGTCAGCAGCACCTTTTAGCTACCTACTGCTGGAATTTGTTTCTCTGGCCTGATGCCAGCCTTGGTGGTGATGTCTTGGCTCAGCAGCTATGAGCAGCCTTAGACACTGCTTCTGTACTCACTAATTCCCTGTCTGAAACCTTCTTGGTGAAGGTCCATCTTCTGGTCATGGTCCCTTTCTCAGCTGTCTTGTCCTGGCTGCCCCTGACAATGTCTTTGTTCTGTTGCTCTGTCATCAGAAATATTCCATAGTGACTGTCTTCTAATTCCTGAGTTCTTGCTTCATTATTAACAGATTTTAAAATAATATTAGAAAACACACTGCCTTGTAATAGTCTATCCCAGAGATTTTTGCTCAACTATAAAGAGGGACTTGCTCTGGAACAGCTTTCTTTGTATGAGTTCATACTAGCATTACTGATACCAAAAAAGTATCATCAAGGTTAATATGCTATTAAATCTCTTGCTCCAGAAGTCTAGGCTTTCAGGGGACTAAGTGAGACTGTGAGGTTTTTCTCTTCCATTACTGTTCCTCCTACTCTGCAGCTAATCCAGTCTAATGGGGCAGCTGAGACCTACTCCCTTTGATTTCCACTCTGATGCAGACTGAAGCAAAAGAAGCTGCTGGGTCTCTCTTCACTGCTAGTATGAGATTACTGCGGGGCTCTGCTCCAGCAAAACTCTCTCCCAGTCACTAATGCACCTACCTGGGAACCCACATGCCATGCTTTATTCCTACTTTTCGTGAGGAAAAAGTAGCAACACTACTGGCTGGGATTAGAAAAGGGCACAGTTTGCCTTCTGTGCGCCTGAAGAAGCCTTGCCATGCTGGGCTGAACAGCTGTTGTAAACTGGGCCTAAAACAAGTGTTGAAGTTACCCCACTGTCTAATAACTTTGATAGCATGCATGCTTGTTTACAAGTACTTCTGTGGTGTGAGGAGACCATCCTTACTAGCTCAGTACTTACTTTATGTTGGAATATAGTTATCAAAGGGGTAATACATGAAGAAAGGAATCTTAATAGTGAGAGCAAAATTAATTTAGAAGATGAAGAAGGCTGTGAAATAAAGGGCTGGTGGTGGTAGGAGTCACAGAAAAGAGACACTGCAGACTGTTTTGGCCCAATATAATAGTTTATAGCTAGCAACTTTAGAAATAGATCCCCTTGCTGTTACTTGTAGTGTGCCTGGGTATCCTGATGTGGATGAGATCCAATAATATGGAAACTGTTGCTTCCTCTGTCACTCTTGAGATCACTGTTGGAGAACATAGTGTCCAGTTCTAGTGAGACGTCTCTTGAGCTTGCTGTACAATTGGGCAGAGCTCAGGGTAAACTGCAAAGATTCATTGCTTAGCAATTGTCCTTGCAGTGTAGGAGGAAGAAGATGGGCATGTTCAGTGTAGTAGAGGGAAGTGAGATGAGGAGCTGCCTGGAACAATTTGCAGGCACCCATACTGGCATGAGATGCTTGACACCAGGGAGCTTTTTAGTGTCTTTGGCAAATGTGTGACAAAAGGTTAGACTTTGGAGTCAGCAAAGCTCAATATGTAAGTGTCATCTATTAATTCTGAGTAATAACTGGATCATATTAATCTGATGGAGAATTACAAAATCATGAATTGTCTATTAGTTAATGCTAGATGGTTCTCTAAAAGGTAGGCCCTATTTACAAATTGTTTAGCTTCTGTATTGCTCTCTAGGGAGGCTGTCTGATCAGTGTCATACCAGAGGATGGGCAATGGTGATCCTTGGTATCTTTGCAGAACTGAAGACTGTATTTCTTGCTTTAAAAGAAAAGAGAGTGTGAAGTCAAGTTACAGTTCTTGAAATAAGTTATAAAGGTTGTGATTCTCCTTTCAGCAG